TATATTTAGGAACAAATTTTTGGGATACAAGTGACTTACAATAATAAGGATCAAAGTGGTATAAATAAGGGCATCTATACTTAGAAAAAAAAAAGATCATTGCTTACATATTTATTATTTTTCAATTAATTTTAACTATTTTTATAAACAGCATAATTCGGTTGTAAAATCTTATGAAAAACCAACAGAATGAGAAGTTGTGTGACCATGCTTAATTGGATATTTTCTTACATTTTTAATTGATTTCATTTAAATGTTTGAGAAAACCCAATTTCATTCTTGAGGCACATAGATATGACGCATCTTTAAAATTTAATGTTTAGAACCACAGTAGTTGACTAACATTATATTGTTAAATTTGATTATGACTACTACTAGTAGTAATAGAAAACCAACTATAGAGTGTTTAGCTTAGTTGTCAAAAATTTCTGAATATATAGCCAACTATATATGATTAATTACCTATAGAGTGGTTAAATCCGTAGAGCCATATCAATATATATCATATAATGATTAAATCACACTGACTCATCATTTACTAGCCAAATCATACATAACTCCTGAACTTTATATCGTATGTAGATTATCTTCATCTGAACTGTCGATTTGTAGTTGATGGCTTCTTCTAATTAAAATCACTGAAAAAGGTTGTTTCTAGCAACCAGAGATCGACCAGGCAAGAAACCTCACCTTCCTTTGCAAAGCTGGTAAGGCATTCCCCTTCAACGGGGAAATGATCACTCTGGGCTTCCTCGACTACCTTCTATCGGCATTGAAGGAACTTGGGGGATTTGGATTCTAGAAAGAAAAGCGCAGAGAAAAGGGTCTGAGTTTAGCAGGGAGGAAGAAAATAATCAGTCTGACTTTAGTAGGGAGACAACAATCAAATCGGAGGAACAATGCAACATGTCTAATACTCGACAATAATAGCATGGGGCTCACCGTGGAAAAAAGTAACAAAGATGAGATTATACTACTTTTATCTTGTTTATAAGCCACTTTAAACATGTTTTACACAAATCAAGAAAAACCTTGAGTTTTATTAACTCTCCTTTAAAATTTAAAAACTTTTTAATTTTATTCCTATTTAATACATATTATACAATTGAGAGTTAAGTCAACACAACAATAAATAAATAGTAAAATTATATATTTATATGAAAAGTTTATTGCTCTACCTTACAAACAGGAGTGGGAGAGTATTAAGGATCATGATATACCTTTTCAGAATTTTGACATACACGTTTGCACCTGAAAAGGCTTTATGGCACTAGATACGCATTCGCTTATACTTTACAGTTACATTTATACCTTAAATTTATATTTTTTCCAAGAAAAAGAAATATTACCTTTTTATTTCATTTTACTTGGTTGCATTATATATATAGAGAGAGAGAGAGAGAGAGCAAATTTTGATTTCTTCTTCGGTTGCATTAAAATTTTGGTTTTAAAAAGAGTTTAAATGATCATCATGATGACCATCAGAATCAGGTAACCTCAACTGTCGTTTCGGCAATTGCATAAAGTGAGCTGTTACCCATCGTTGTATTTATCCAACTTTTGGGGCAATTTTCTCCTCCTCACCTATAATTATTGTCTTCCACATCATTTTTCAGGCCCTCTTAGGTTAGGCTCTCTTAAATTATGTTTGGAGTGTTCGGTACGTAGAGAAAAAAGTTAAAAAAGAACAAAGGAAAATAAGAGATAATTACTACTCACACATATTTGGCGGAGAATTACTACTCATATATTTGGTGGGCTATAGTGTCTCTTTCATTGATTGCGGATGATAACTGTGCTTATGAAAAGAAGGGCAACGGTGAATCTAATATATACTAGTTTTATTTTCCTCATGCATTCCAACACTATAATTTTATTTATAGTGTATTCAATACAGTGATATTATTTTTTTTATGTGCATCCAACACTTTTACATTATTTTTTTAGTTACATCCCACACCTTAATCTTTAAAGTGATGGATACATTAGAAAAATAAAATTAGGATATTAGATGTATCATGAATAAGATTAGGATGCTAAATATACCTTTATTCTAAGAAACACATTTTCAACTTTGTTTTTCTTCCCTTTAAAAAAACAACTGTGCAATACAACAAATTATGCAAGAAAAACTTTATTTTGTAAAACAAAAAAGTAATTATTTCAAGAAATTCTAAATACCTATAGCCCACATAAGGAAAATGCTTTTATTTGGATTCTTCTCTACCTCCCTCCACTAACTATTTCTACCATTAGATTAACATCCAATAGTTGAGATTTAATATACTATAACAATACTATTATAATATTAAATAAAAAAGTAAATATAAATAAATTTAACTTGTATATAAATAAATATTATGATCAGATTGCAGGGGATAAAAGATACAAAAAATAAAATATTTTAATAAAAATCTAACTAATTATGCATATTAATTTCTAACTGCTTAAATATATATTGTTTAATTAATATTATAATAAAATTGTTATAATATATTAAATCTCAACCATTTGATGTTAATCTAATGGTAAAGATGGTGCGTAGAGGAAATTAGAAAAGAAATTAACTGAAGACATTTCCCTCTCCAGCATGAAATCATTTAAAATAAATTAAATCAAATTCCTATGAACATCAAATGTGGAAAAGAGCTTTCATGAAAATAGTTAATAGTTAATTAGTAAATGCTGCTTCCTTTAGTTCTAGGCTAGCTAATAACATGGGCAAGGATATATCACTCAGGAGTTTGATCTCATCTGAGATCTATTCAACAAAGAAAAAGGAAATACATGCCCTCTTTATAATAGTTTAAAATCGATTATTTGTTAAAATAAAAGATATTTGTGTAATTGACTTGTTTTTTAAGTTTTTAATTTTCAAATTTTTTTGGCCAAAACTTAAATAATTAATTAATTTACATGGTCATTAGTACTTTTGCACCTATAAAAAATATATGATGTTCGGTGCATTTTGGCTAAAAATTTACTCAAGGGATATTTTCATACTTTCATAAAATTAATGTGAACCTCATGGCAAAGAATAATGACTGTTAAGAAAATTTGATGGCTTTGTAATTTTTTCTCTGTTTTACAAATTTATGGATATTTCTGCATCTTTAAAAAACTTACGGTGATAAATGCATTTTGGATAAAAGTTTATTGATATTTTTTTACCTCTATCTCTTAATTGAAGTTAGCTGAACTTGGACTTGTCATCCATCAAGGACCTTCATTATTCACTCTCAATGCACATGTCTCACTTGATGCCTTTGAAGCACATATATACAAGAACTATTGTAGTTTCGGTTTCAGATATCACAATTTTCTCGATCCTTCTCTACAATTTGTTACTTTTAAAACTCACATTTTCTTGTTGCTTACTATCTCATTTATTTATTTTATAACCACAAAAATTGAAAACTACATCTATTTTTATGTGTTTTTTACAACTTAATTAAATATTTTAATTTTGCTCTATCGTTAGCCCTTATAACTTTTCTCATCATTAGCCTTTTTGCAGGTGCTAACAATGCTGCTAGAATAAAATTAAAGCATTTAATTAAGAAAAAAATACACATGTATTAAAAATTGAGGGGAAGTATAAGTACTTGCAAATTCTTTTAATTTTTTGTAAACCATATTATCGTGGAGCCACTAATAGATATAATTCTTGTAACTCTTTCTATTCTAAATGTAGGGTTTATATAGCTAACTTATAAAGATTACGAAAGTTAATTATTAAATTAGTTATGTATTAAAATATGTATTGATTTTCCTATTATAGCTTTCAATCATTTGTTGAACCACTCTAATGATAAACAGAAAAACTCCTTGTTAATATATGCAATCAATATAAATTATTTGATCAAAAATTATCAATATAAAAGACATATTTGATTTAAACATTATATTTAGGATCAAAATAAATATTTTAACTAGCTTTTTCATGTATGATTGGCAAGTATTATTTTTTACCAATATTTTGTTTATACGAACTTCTTCAAATACTACCGTTGGACTATATAAGTGTAGTTGGAAATTATATTTGGTCCTAAATATAAGATATCAATTCACTTTGTCTCTCAAATTTATAATTCATTATCTGAAATTTTCATATTGATTATACATATTAATAGGAATATTCAATTCAAGGTAGTCATAATTAAAATAATACTTTAGATAATTCAATCTATATTTGTTATAAATAACTAACTTAACAAATTTTTTTAATCTATTTAAATTAGTTAAATATTTTTTATATTAACGATATAAGAATGTAGGACATCCCTTTCATTGCTTATTAACTAAAGCGGTTTAATAACTGCTGTCAATTTCGCAAGTGCGTTTATCAAATTCTCATAATTCGTTTTTTTTTTTTTTGCCGGCCTAAATCAAACTCTCATTTTCCAACTTTTGCCTTTCGCAATTATTACAACTTACAAGAGCACATGGATTAAATTTAATCGTTCACGTTTTCCCTCCATGGACATGTAGCAACATGTATTACACATAAGGTGTCTTGGGATTTGTTTGGCACAATAATATAAAATATAGTAAAAAAAAATAACTTTAAAGATTACAAATAATTTTTTTCAATTCGTTTTCTAAAAATAAAATTTAATTATTAAAAAATACTGTAATAACACGAGACTGGCGTGGGAGCATTCTTGATTTCTTGTAGGGTAAAGAAGAGGTCCTTAAGCATGGCAAGCAACGTGGTCCAAAAATACAATAGTAACGCGAGTAACGTAGTTTGTAATACGGGGCGCGTGGGAAAGCATGCCAACATCCGCGAAATTTGTCTTCCCCGCGGCTATTGAATGAGAGGGTACTAGCTCGCACTGTGATCACTTGCATCACTCTTTAACGCTGGCAACCAACTCAGTGAAAGAAACAAAGGTTCGAGGGCGGCCATTAATGCTGAGCTCAACCACCAATCCTCTCTTGGAATTTAGAAGCGCTCTCAACACAACACACACCCACACTCTATCTCATTCTTGCCACAACATACTTCATTCTCTCTCTATTTTCTCTTTCTTTGATATTCACCTTCATTCAAACGCTACGGGCTGGTTGGTGTTTGGGGGAGATAGAGGTGTGCTAGATCTGCGGCGGCCGCCATGTGGAACTCCGCCAAGAATGCCTTTGCCAGATCGGCGTCGTTTAGGGAGGACTTGGACGACGAGGAGGCGCTCCGGTGGGCCGCACTGGAGAGGCTGCCGACGTACTCGCGAGCACGCAGAGGCATTTTTAAGGATCTTACAGGTGAGAAAAAGGAGATCGATGTGAGCGAGCTCGAGGCACAGGAGCGGATTCTTGTTCTTGAGAGATTGGCTAATTCCGTTGGCGATGACCCAGAGAAGTTCTTCGATCAGATGAGAAGCCGATATGACAAGTAATTTTCTCTCGAGTTTTACTTGATTAGTTTCCAGGAAATTGTGCGATTAGGAGGAATGCAAAGTTATTTATAATCTTACCGTGCCTGAGAGATCATTGCCCGTGTGCTTCTATATGTTCTCATTTTGAGTGTTCAGAGGTCGAAATATGCCTAAAGGGATAAAAATTTGTCTCAACTGGTTCTTATTCTATACCTTTGCTTTGGTTCAATCGGGAGAACACAAATCTTCGTTATTTTATTTTGACGGTATGAATGATCTCTGTCAGGGTAAAGCTGAGGTTTCCGAAGATTCAAGTTCGATTTCAACAGTTGACAGTTGAAACCTATGTTCATGTTGGAAGCAGAGCCCTGCCGACGATTCCTAATTTTATCTACAATATGACCGAGGCAATTTCTCTTGTTTTTGTCCATTTTATTTTGGTTAATTTTTATTGGCTCCTGTTTAATCAGAACCAGTTAGTGCTTACGGCATCAAATTAAAATTTCATATTTAATATTTTTTTGTTTTTTAAAAATATTTTGTTTTTAATATGTACATAATCCAAGATAAATGTAATCTTTTAACAGTGAGTTTTTTAAAAAAATAAATTTTTATTTAAAAATTACTAGTTCAAATTTTTAAATCTAGATTATTAAAGCTAATTTTGATGAAAATGAGCATCACAGTGTTTATCACTACTAAAATGGCCTCCTCCTTAATCCGGGTGGTTGTTTGGTCATCTCACACGATCGTTGTGTAATTTTCTGTCTTATTATCGTTTAGGCTCTTTTAAGACAATTGCGACTATACAAGAGAAAGCGAAGTAAATTGACAATTCTAGCCGACATTAGTGGGATTATCAGACCCTCAAGGTACGTGGTAAAATTTTTTTTTTTTATCAAGTTTGGCTTTTGTTTTGTTTTTTTTTTGGTTGCTGTTACTAGCTATAGTCTTACCTTTAAAGCTATTTATACATTCTACTTTTATTTCTTTGTACAGTTAATTTTTATAGATAAAATCAACATTTATTGGATCATTATTTTTTTTTGGCGTAGAAATGAGTAAAACATTTCCTTCAATTGCGATTTTGAATTCAGGCCAAAAAACAAATTTTGCGATTTTGAATGCTAGGTTTCTAACATTCTGAGTTTTTCCCCCCATTTTTTTTTATATTTTTAAAATTGACGGATTTGTTCAGCCGCACCGTCACTCATAATAAACATTTTATTCGCTGCTTCATTTTACTTGGCATCTTTGTGCTCAGGCATTAAATACTTGCGTTGAAATTAGAGGAGTTTCGAGTTTGATTAGCTCACGTTGGTCTTATTTTCTTAAAGATTGACTCTGCTGTTGGGCCCGCCAAGCTCTGGAAAAACGACACTACTTTTAGCTCTTGCTGGCAGGCTGGGGCCTGGTTTGCAGGTACTCAGATTTTCAACGCCCTGAGGACCTTGAATTAGATTTTCTATTTAAGCATAATCCCAAGCATGCACATCATATACTAATCAAACGTTTCTTCGAAATTAATGGAGCTGCTGCGCGCTTAAGCTTTGCTGCGGTGGGTTTTACGTCATCGCCCCAAGGAAGGAACATATTTATAAAAACATCCCATACCAATAACAACTAAGCTAATGCTAAGTCCTAGAATAGCAAATAACCAGCTAGCTTGTCATTGAGACATTTTAGTAATTATCTTCCTTCTTTGAGATTTTTTAGTAATTCTTCCTTGATATATTCACTTTTTATTCACATTGAGGTTTTGGATATCCGCCTTCTTTAACTTAGTCAGATTAAACATTCGAAGCAGGCTAATTCACTGATAAACTAGTCTATAATACTCCAGTTTGACTTGTGGCTTCTTTTTTGTTATCCTTTCTCTTGCTTATTTATATTGGTATGCCCTTTGAAGATGTCAGGGAGCATTACATACAATGGGCATACTCTCAATGAGTTTGTTCCTCAGAAAACAGCTGCTTATGTCAGCCAACAAGATTCACACGTGCCAGAGATGACTGTAAGGGAAACTCTTGATTTTGCTGGCCGCTGTCAAGGCGTTGGATTTAAGCATGGTATGCTCTTAGGAGACTCTGTTAATTTGCACATTTAAATGCTGAATTCTAAATTCTCAACTCTTAACAGATATGGTGCTGGAACTCGCCAGAAGAGAAAAGAATTCTGGGATAAAACCTGATGAAGATCTTGATATATTTATGAAGGTGCTTCCTATAATGTTTGCTTTCTTGGTTAATTACTGTAACTTATGGGCACTGCTTAATTAAATATAATTTCTTTTTTGTAGGCTTTAGCACTTGGTGAAAAGGAAACAAATCTTGTTGTGGAATACGTCATGAAGGTACTACAGCTGTTAGCCTTTGAATCCTGAACGCATAAATAACTGCCTTGATAATTATGACTAGAGATGTTTGATCACTTCTACACCCCAAAAAACAAAAGTAATATAGTACCACTCTAGTACTTAATATAAGTCACTTCACATACTAAGGACTGCATTAAATTGACAAAATTTTCTGATTTTACCCTTGTTAAAGTTTTCTTGCTACCTGCTTTTGCAAATCATTCACATATTTCTTTATACTTTATCTATTTCCAATGAGAATTAAATGGGTGTAAAATAGAAAAACAAGCATTAAATATACAAGTGACTTATCCTGGTATCATTTAACTTAAGGACATTTGTAATGTCCCTATTGATACGGTTTTTTGGACTCTTCCTAGAGAATTGAATGATGAAAGAAGTGTCTTGGTATGTGTTATAACGGTAGACGAGTATTATATTAGATTTGTGGGGTATTTTCTTGTTTAGTTCTATAAATCTTCTAAGTACTAAAATATTCATGACAAAGATATTAGGTTTGGACATGTGCGCTGACACATTGGTAGGAGATGAAATGCTGAAGGGCATTTCAGGAGGGCAAAAGAAGCGTCTTACAACAGGTATGTGAGTGCGTATAGCTTTGATTCGTGCATCACCAAGTCAAATTCATATACAGGATTTTCACCTGGTGTGTATCATTACTAGGTGAATTACTGGTTGGGCCAGCAAGAGTCTTGTTCATGGATGAAATATCAACTGGCCTTGATAGTTCAACTACTTACCAAATTGTCAAATATCTTAAGCATTCCACCCGTGCGCTTGATACAACCACTATCATATCTCTTCTACAACCAGCTCCCGAGACATATGAGTTGTTTGATGATGTCATTCTTTTGTGCGAGGGTCAGATTGTGTATCAGGGACCTCGTGAGTCTACTCTTGAATTTTTCAGATTGATGGGATTTAGTTGTCCTGAGCGAAAGAATGTGGCAGACTTCTTGCAAGAAGTGAGTGGTAAATATATTATAATATAGCTGCCTATTCCAATACTTTTAGTCATTGCTCAAGTTCTGGTAAACAGGTTACATCGAAGAAGGACCAAGAACAGTACTGGTCTGTTCTCGACCGTCCTTACCGGTACATACCCGTTGGGCAGTTTGCAGAAGCTTTTGCTTTATATCGCGATGGCAAGAATTTGTCAGAGGAACTAAAAGTTCCTTTCAATAAACGCTTTAATCACCCAGCAGCCTTGGCAACAACTAACTACGGAGCGAAAGGGCTTGAATTGCTCAAAACCAGCTACCAATGGCAGAGGCTACTAATGAAGCGAAATTCATTTATTTATGTCTTTAAATTTGTTCAGGTAAACTTACCACTATGGAATCTGTCGTAGCCAAAAATAATTGCCCGTTTATACAGGTTGTTTTATGAGGGTAACTCTTGCGGTTTTGCCACTTAAAATCAAACCATTCTTCCCGCATTTTAAATTGGATACTTGCCTTTAGTTTTATTGTCCTTTTGATAACATTGCTTGCCTTTCTCATATTTTGACATCATATTTTTTCATATCTTGCTGTCCTTGTTTTTATTTAAACTTACCTCATATCATACGGTATATTTTAAAAATACCGAAGAGTTTCGCAATTCTGGCTATCGACTTCAATATTTTGACTGTCGGTAGTCAGTTTATTGTTTGTTGTTTTCTTATGCTCTTTGATTATAAATCTATCTTTTGCTTCGGTTTTGAACCAGCAAGGGTTTTAAGGTTGATCTCAAGTTCCATATTATTTTCAGCTTCTTTTGGTTGCTTTGATCACAATGAGTGTTTTCTTCCGGACAACAATGCATAAAGACACAATAGACGATGGAGGCATATATCTGGGGGCGCTGTACTTTTCTATGGTAATTATTCTGTTCAATGGTTTTACGGAGGTATCAATGTTGGTTGCAAAGCTTCCAGTACTTTACAAGCACAGAGACTTGCACTTCTATCCTAGTTGGGTTTATACACTCCCTTCTTGGCTCCTTAGTGTTCCAACTTCCCTCATGGAGGCCGGATGCTGGGTTGTAGTCTCGTACTACACGATTGGATATGATCCTGCTATTTCTAGGTAAAGCCAGAGTGTCCAGAGTACACTCTGCATTGTTCTATATTATAGTAGTTTACCTTTTTAATTTTAATTTTAATTTTTTTATATTTTTTCCCCTCATGACAATTATGTGTTTCTGGGTGTGCAGATTTTTAAAGCAGTTTTTGCTATATTTCCTTCTACACCAAATGTCAATTGGTCTCTTCCGTTTGATAGGATCGTTGGGCAGGAATATGATCGTAGCCAATACCTTCGGATCCTTTGCCATGTTGATTGTGATGGCCCTTGGAGGATACATAATTTCAAGAGGTCAAATTGGAGTTGCAATCTTTTCATGTTCTTAAATTTATTTTGACAACCATAGTTTTCCCACTTAAAATTTCCTCCTCTTGAGCAGACCGTATACCTCGTTGGTGGATATGGGGCTTTTGGATTTCTCCGCTAATGTATGGACAAAATTCGGCTTCTGCAAATGAGTTCCTTGGACATTCATGGCATAAGGTATGATCCTTGTTCCTTAGTAGTTATGATCATCTGTGGAATTTTTTTATACCTTGCGGTACCTTGAAACTATCATTTTGGATCGTCCAGAGATGCAGTGGCAACTTTTTGAGGTTTTAACATAATTCTAATTAGCACTTTTTTTTTCCACTGCATTGAAGCACACGCTTTGTTTTCTCGTTTTGTAGCCTGCTGGAAATGATACTTCACTTCCGTTGGGTAAAGCATTATTAAGAGAGCGGAGTTTGTATCCAGAGAGCTATTGGTATTGGATTGGTGTTGGTGCAATGGTTGGATATACGATTTTGTTCAATACATTATTTACTATCTTCCTAGCTTACCTTAATCGTAAGACGAGTTTTTTTTTTTCTTGGTTAAGCCCTCAAATAATTTAATTTTACTTTGGCTCGTGGTGCTGCATGAATCTGAAATCTCTCATATAATTTGTTCAGCTTGGGGCAGGCCACAAGCTGTTGTCTCAAAGGAGGAGCTAGAAGAAAGAGAAAGGAGGAGAAGAGGCGAAAGTTCTGTTATTGAGCTGAGGGAGTACTTCCGGCATTCATCATCAAATGGTCTGTAAACTATTCATCACATCTTTATCCTTCTGTATTTTCTGTTTCTATACGTAATTGGGAAGTGACGTTATTCAATTGCCATTACATAGGAAAGCATTTTAAGCAACGAGGGATGGTTCTTCCTTTTCAACCGCTTTCAATGGCTTTCAGCAATATCAATTACTATGTGGATGTCCCCATGGTGCGTAAAAATGGCTTATTTCTTGATTTTTGTTTATTCTATTCATTAGATTAATTCCTCTTCTATATAAATATTTTTGCTTCAGGAATTGAAACAACAAGGGATATCAGAAGACAGGTTGCAGCTGTTAGTTAATGTTACAGGAGCTTTTAGGCCTGGGGTGCTCACAGCATTGGTTGGAGTCAGTGGTGCTGGAAAAACCACTCTTATGGATGTATTGGCTGGAAGAAAAACTGGTGGAACCATAGAAGGGAGCATATGCATTTCTGGTTATCCAAAAAGACAAGAAACTTTTGCAAGAATTTCTGGATATTGTGAGCAGACTGATGTTCATTCTCCTTGCTTGACTGTCTGGGAATCACTACTATTCTCTGCTTGGCTTCGATTACCTTCAGATGTTAGCTTGGAGATACAAAAGGTAGAAAAATGAAACATGACATAACATTTTTCCCCCCCAAACCATGGGCACATAATGATTTTTCCAGGAATTTTGATGGTCAGGCTTTTGTTGAGGAGGTAATGGAGCTTGTGGAGCTCACTTCATTGAGTGGAGCACTTGTGGGTTTACCTGGAATTGATGGATTGTCAACAGAACAACGAAAAAGGTTAACTATAGCAATTGAACTGGTTGCCAACCCTTCTATAGTCTTTATGGATGAGCCCACATCAGGGTTGGACGCTCGGGCAGCTGCCATTGTGATGCGAACAGTGAGGAATATAGTAAATACTGGGAGAACTATTGTGTGCACAATCCATCAGCCTAGCATAGAAATATTTGAATCCTTTGATGAGGTATTGCTAATGAAAGAGTTTTCTCAGATTTGTTTCATTTAATAGTGAGTATTTGAGGCAGGATTCAACTATGGCAGTGTCTAACCTTTGTGTGAATTATGTAAATGTTTTTGTGATAACCTGATATGTGTTTCTATCATGCATGGCTGCGGAAATTTAAACTGTAGCTGTTTTATCTTTATCTAGTATCTAATATTCTATCAATTATCCAATCAGATCAATAGTTCGAGGGATCATATTTTATGCTTCATGATTTTCTCAAAGCATTTCTATATAGTCACAGGTCTAACCATTTTCCAAACTTTTGGCAGCTTCTGTGTATGAAGCGGGGGGGTGAGCTAATATATGCTGGTCCGCTCGGCCCCAAGTCTTGTGAGCTAATAAGTTATTTTGAGGTCTGCAAATGGACACTTAGTTTTTATAGAATAATTCATTCATTGAGTGATGATGAAAATAAATTCACTAATTCTTGTGCGAATTTTTCTTCTGCAGTCGATTGAAGGTGTTCCAAAGATTAGAACAGGATATAACCCTTCTACATGGATGCTGGAGGTTACTTCTCCTTTGGAAGAAAGTCGTCTAGGAGTGGATTTTGCTGAAATCTACAGAAGATCAAGCTTATTTCTGTAAATGCAATTCTTAAGTCAACTTTTCTACACAAATTGAGAGCTCTATATGCAACTGCTGCTCTCTTATTGATACCATCTTTATTCTTTTCTTTTCAGGCGAAACAAAGACTTGGTTGAAACCTTGAGCAAGCCCAGTAGTAATTCAAAAGAATTGAGTTTTCCTAGCAAGTATTGTCGGTCATATTTTGAGCAGTTCCTAACTTGCCTCTGGAAGCAAAATCTATCTTATTGGCGTAACCCACAATACACTGCTGTTCGCTTCTTCTACACTGTCATTATCTCATTGATGTTGGGAACTATATGCTGGAGATTTGGTGCCAAAAGGTCGTTTGCCCTGCATTTTATATTGTTCTGTAACATTTTCAATCTTAGCACCTTCCTTGGCTCTACGTTGCGAATTTTGTTAGTGTCCGTTGTTACAACATGGTCTTGCTAGTGGTAGGTAGCTATGATATCCATAAATGTGTTTTTCCTTGCTTGTTTCTTAGCGCATGCATAGAACAAGCGTATAAAGCCCTTAGGCTATGTTTAGATGAAGCGAAAACTGAGAGGAAAATGAGGAGGGAATGCTGGAAAGAAAATCTTCCAAAAAATAGTAAAAAAATTTAAGGTTAATTCTATTTTTAGTCCCTGAAATTTGAACCTAGTGGCTTTACTCCTTGAAATTTGACTTCGTTTTGGTTTTGGTATGTGAAATTCTAAATTAGTGGTTTTGCTCCCTAAAGTTTGACTTCATTTTGATCCAGCTTAAAATTTTTGGTTTCTGAAATAAAGACCAAAACCAAAATGAGGTTAAATTTCAGGGACCAAAACCATTTGTTTCAATTTTTAGGGGACCAAAACCGTTGGTTTCAAATTTTAATTAGGGATTAAAACCAAAATAAGGTCAAATTTTAAGAACTACAAATGATATTAACTCAAAAATTTACTACTTTATAGGTTGTTTTACCTCCTAGCATTCTTTCCTCCCTAAGTTTCTTCCCATTCATAGGGTTAGTGACAACTGGTTGAAAGAGACATACTTTGTTATGTTGCGAAAGTTTGGTCAATATGTGGTGAAGACCAATCTCACACGTTAAAATGATATCTGCTCCTTGAATGATTGCTTATGATTGGGATGATTAATGAATCACTCTCAATGCTCTAATGCAACCTCAATATCTATTACTGGCCCTAATTAATGTACTAGCAAATCTCTCACTATTTTTCATTAATTCTGATTTCCTGTATCAACTGGCAACTTTATTGTATTCTCACAGGGAATCGCAGCAAGATATATTTAATGCCATGGGATCTATGTACGCAGCAATTCTATTTATTGGCATCACAAACGGCACGGCTGTTCAACCTGTTCTTTCTGTTGAAAGATTTGTTTCATATCGAGAAAGAGCAGCAGGGATGTATTCAGCCTTACCATTTGCATTTGCCCAGGTTTATTTTTATCAGAACACGCATTTTTCTGCAACTTTTGTTTTTTTTTTTGGTGATGATCTTTCTGCACTTTTGATTCAAACAAAAACTTGTGGTTATGCAGGGTGCTATTGAGTTTCCTTACGTATTTGCCCAATCTCTTATATACTGTTCAATATTCTATTCCATGGCTTGCTTTGAGTGGAGTGCTGTTAAGTTCATTTGGTACATATTCTTCATGTACTTTACCATGCTGTATTTTACCTTCTATGGAATGATGACCACGGCCGTCACACCAAATCATCATGTTGCTGCCATTATTGCTGCTCCATTTTATATGCTGTGGAATCTCTTCAGCGGTTTCATGATCCCTCATAAGGTATGGGAACTCATTTGCTTTCTAAATATGTTTAGTGTCAACGTTTTTAGTTGATTAAGGAATGCTTACATTTGATGTTGGACCTTTTAATGCCTATATTAAAACATTTTAGCTTTGGTGATCGGGTGTAGATGGAGATTCAAAGTTGGAAAAGTGATTTTGTTTTACCAAACCACATTTTTAATGATTGTTTTTGCTAGAAATATTGGCTGTCATATCTAGGTGTTTCCTGGGTTTCGTTCGGTTTGCTTATCTTTGTTTACTGAAGGAATAGTTATAATTGTTGATAAATTTGATTTGAATTTTGTTCGCTTTTGATCATGATGATTGTTATCCGTAAAATAATTAAATTGTTTAAAATAATTTTAATTAGAGACAACAAATTTCAATAATATTCTTTTGAATTTACTGATAGAAATTTCAACCGAAATTTCAGTGCATTTAATAACTTACAAATCCCTCAACCATAAGCCAAAAAAAAAAAAGAAAAAAAAGAAAGAATCAAAATTGACTGCCCCAGGTACCATAATTCCACCTCTGCCAATGTCTATCATATAGTTTAACAAGACTCTTGAAAATTGTTATTTTGAAAAGGAGGTCTCCTAATCTCACATGCAAAAGATTGTATCTCTTCTAGAACTTTTTCTTGATCCATTAATAAGGTAAGGTATCATGTAATAATATGTAATAATTTCCGCTTTTATCTTAAAGTCATTTAATCATTAGTCTTAGATCTTCGTAAATTCATGAGGAAGCCAAGTTTATATTCTTATTATAGAAAAATAGAGCTCCATTTTTCGAGTAGTTAATCATGTAACAAATTTTCCTTACGAGGAAGTTACATTTCGGATCGGCAAGAGTATAGATGGAAAAATGAGCTGCACCATTGGACACTTATAGCAAATGGCAAATGTGATTTCCAGTAAATCTTTTAAATTTTATATTGATATTTAATACTGATAGGGCTCAATGGCGTTGTGCAATCCATGTAGCCAACCTCATCTAGTGGGATAAAGCTTTTTTTTATTGTTGTGTTGATATTTAATACTGAGTATAAACGGTTCTGATCTCATTCTCAGAGAATTCCAATATGGTGGAGATGGTATTACTGGGCAAACCCTGTAGCCTGGACTCTCTATGGCCTGGTAACTTCTCAGTATGGTGATGATTATAAACTTGTGAAGCTATCTGATGGAATAAGCTTGAGACCCATAAAGCAGGTTCTGGTTGAAGTGTTTGGTTATAAGCATGATTTCTTGTGCATTGCTGCCATAATGGTGCCTGGTTTCTGCATATTTTTTGCAATAATATTTGCCTTTGCAATTAAATCCTTCAATTTCCAAAGGAGATGACAGGGTTGGTGTGCCGTGAGAGTTTTGTTACTGCTACTAAGATTGTGCAAATTTTTCCAATTGAGTTTGCCATTTGTTATTTGTATAGTCGATTATTACCCTGCGCCAAACAAATATGCCTTTCTTTAGGGTTTACATAAACTAATAAGATTTTACGTTTTCAAGAATTACTGTGTTCCACCCAATTCAAATTATAGTTTACTGTAAAGAGACATTATTATTATTATTGTTATTATTATCTTTCATCACAAATTTATGAATCAAGTGCCAATTTTTATGCCTCTGCTTGTTATAGTTGTAGATACCGTGGAAGTATGGATGGTTTTTTCCCCCTCTTCTCTTTAAAATTTAGAGTCAAAGATGCTAATGACCTTTTTGTTTTACTTAAATTATAGAATCTTCATCTTACTTTATAAATGTATATAAACTTTTCATAAAATAAAATATGTTATACAAACCTCGTATATTTGATTTTACAGATCGCTTGCTAATTGCTAATAATATCCTCACATTATTGGTGGTATTTGAACTTATGATCTTGGGACGAATCTTTATTGCTGTCCCTTAATATTATTTGATTTCAAAATTACATATAATTCTTCACACCCACAAAATAAGAACTAGATTTATCTTTGGGCAGATTTGGCCTATGCCCGTTAAAGTAACACTTCAAAATCGTACGTTTTAAACTGATTACACAATTAACATCTCCTTTGATATATTAATCTTATTAAAACAATTTTAAATGAACATAAACAAAGAGGTACCAGTAATAATACCAAAAAACAAAAATGTATTTACAACGATGAATTTGAATTAGGACAAAAGGCCCATATTCCATGTGATGGGGATCAAAGCTCAATATGATAGGGATCAAAACTCATGCAGTTCATGTTAGAAATGCAGGAATAGATCAGATAAACATGTTCCGCCTACTTCATTTCCCGTCACCCTTATATTTATCAGGAGGTAACAGGCTACTGAAGTAATATATGGTGTAGAGTTTAGACTCAAGAGGATTGATGGCATGAGGAATCTTGGCCACCTAGTTCCTTAAATAAAGCATTTATCATTCGATAATTCCAGGGAGTTTTAGCTGATGTCTTTGATGTGTTGAATGAGCTAGGTTTGATCTCCTTCTCTCTAATTCACTGTGAGGGAAATGTTACCGCCAACTATTTGGCTACTTTAGCTTCAAGGAATTTGGGACCTTCTAGTCTGATTCACGAATCACAACCTCTTCTAGCTTCTATCATTCTTTGCCAAGTCCATGCTGAAGACGTTGACAGCAATTTCCTTTACGCCAGGAGGCGAACAGGGGAGGAATTGGCTAATGGGTATCAATGGATATTGTTTACTGCCATATTTTAGTTTTTGTTGATTCTCATTTCCTACTTATTGTATTAGACCATCAGATGTTAACTTTTTTTTTTTTTGGTATTATACGGTATTCAGCACCTTTTTTGAATTCTATTAGTAGGAATCCAAGCAACTGACTAATTTGGTTGTTCATGGCCAACTCTTCCAGTAGAGGTGTCTCCTCTGAGACTCAACTTTCCTCTTACCCCAGAAAACAGAAGTACAAATGAATAACTCAAATAATGAAATTACATAAAATAAAATAAAACAGGTCTAATCTTTCATAAGAAATAATAATGAATTAATTAATATGTGATTTATCGGTGGTTTTGGAAGTAATTAAAAAAAGGTGATGTTAAATACTATTTATGTTAATTAATTATTATAATAAGTAAATGATCAATATAATTTTAAAAATTAGTTCATTATTTATTATTTTTGAAAAAATCAATAAAAAATGTTTTGAATGAAAAATCAAAGTAAAAATTATTTTATCAAATCTTTCTAAATGTTCCAGCTCTTTGGGACTCCAAGCAGTGTTTAGCTGGGTGGTGTTGTAGCTGGTTTGAGATGACGCTCAAGTTTCGATGGGTCTTGGAAGTGTTAATAATCTTTTGGGCTTACAAGTGGAAGTTTAATATTTTATTTGTTTTGATGTCTATGGTTTGTTTGATCAAATACAATTCTCGTATGTTATTTTATATCATTTTAAGGGTTTTAACTATGATTTATTAGCTCTTCCATGAAAATTATACATAATTTAAATTGAGAGTGCTTGCATGAAATGAAGCTTAATGTAAGCATAAAATTATTAGAATTGGTTATTATTTGTATTCAATTGATTTTTAAGATATTGATTTCTATTGCTAGGCACTTGAGCAATATTGGATCCAAGAGATGAGAAAATGGAACAGGAAGAAGATGGAGATGGAGAAATGAGAAGAGAAGTAAATGGAGGCATAGGAAATGCAAGGTTTCGAATGGAATCTCAAGACAAGGAGTTCGGGACTGGTTTCTTTTATTTTTTTTTGGGGTGGGGGGAGGGGGGAGCGTAGCTGTAGAATTTGCCCTAGCGAACATGCCTTCGTGGTGGCTAACCACACAGGAGCAACTCTTCTTCATTTTTGTGTTGTGTAATCACTTGGACTCTCTTCTTGGTTCCCATGGTCAAGTGTCCTACAATAGAAATCAATATTTTGTAGCATTAATTACTTTATAAATCAATTGAATACAATTAATAACTAATTATGATATTTTTAGCCCTAATTTAAGCTTAATTCTATGCAAGTACTCTTAACCAAAATTATGTATAATTCTACACAAAAGAGCCAGAAAACCATAACTAATACCCTTAAAATGATAGGAAATAACATATGATAATTGGGTTCAATCATTGTTACTGTAACGTATTTCTATTTTTAGGCTTTAAGCCTCCAATATAGTCTTGATTCAGAGGATCAATCAGCGATTTTTTATGCATCATTTTATCTTTTTATTATTTAAATAAATTGACCTTTTATTTAAAGACATTTAAAATGAAGAATAATTGTATTTCTTAGTTAGGACTGGAGAATAATTATATTTCCATCTATGAAATATATTTAAAATATAGTATATGCTTGCTATTTAAAAAACCCAAATCCAATTGGTTTATTATAGTTCAAAATATATGCCATATCCAAACAAAATGCCATTACTTAAAAATCAGACAATTGAACCAAAAAAAAAAAAGACGATGATTTTATTATTGAATACAATAAAATAGACAAATAGAGAATCATATGTATACAATAACTAAGACTTTATGAAATATAAATAATCCAGATATAAATAATTAACTAATAAAGAATATACAAAATTTAATATGTCAACAATAATTAATATTGCAACTCAATGCTACCCCAAATTAAATTAAATGATCAATTGAATATATTGAAATTATCACATTGAGGAGGATGAAGCCCGAGAGTGTGAATGAGGGCCCAACATTGACCAATCTGGTGGGGGCAAGGTCACGAGAAAGAATGATGTAATAGAGATAAGGCATAAGGAAGTTCGGATGTGGGAGATATGACGAGGCAATACTACGAATTTATTAATACCTTCACGCCTAACACTTAACAATAATATAGTAAACCATGAAAAAAAGTAAGGCGCAAATTGGCAAAACGATACTTGATGATTGTTACTCAAAAACCGTCAAATATTGTGAACAAATACTTGATGGCTTGAACTAAAACTTTCAAGTATTGTTCCACATAGGATTACTTGATGATTCTTTCTTCAAACAGTTAAATATTTCTTCACAATACTTGATGGTTTTAGCTTACAACCACCAAGTATTATGTTTTAAAATTCTTAATATGATACATTCTCTTTTTGAGTTCAGTCTCTCTATTTATCCGCGCTTTGTCGCTAATCCTCTGACTTCTCCATTCTGGCATTCCTACCATTGTTTTGCACTCTCCTTGTGTCTTTTGTGTTTGTGGGTTCTTTTTCATTACTGTTCACTATCACCCACCATGTTCTTCATATTTCACTACCTTTGTGCCTGTCGGTCACTATTTTGCACTCTTTTCTATTGTCGGCAAGCAGTCGCACTCTCCAGGTTAGCCTTTTTTTTTGTTCTTTTTCTGCCAATAAGTACTTGCTTCATTTTTATCGCCTTATGCTTTCTATTCATTTTCTTCCACTCTTTACTCTTTGTCCAGTTCATTGTCTTGCATTTTTTTTGTGTTCACAGTTTTTTTTTCCCCAAATGATTTGTGGGCTCCGAAGTATTATTCTATAGCTTTGTTAGTTTTTTACATATTTCAATTAATGGGATTGTTTTGGGTTCTAAAGCATTCTTTTGTAGCTTTGTTTCTTACATGTGAAAATCAATGACATTGTTGTGTTTTCTTGATTAATATTTTTGTGAAGCTAATATAGTTCAAATAGATGGTATAAAGCCTGGGAAATACTCATTTTCAAGTCATTAGGCCACCAAACTTTTTCCAAATCAGATGGCACATGATTGAACTTAGACAGCATTGTTTCTAAATTCAAGAACATTATTTTAGATATTTAGAATGGTTTAAATGATTAAATGTTAGTTGGGATGTTTTTATTTAGTATGAAGAATTAAACTTGCATGAAGGGTTGTTTTAGTTGCTTGGTTTTCTGAACTAAAGCTGCCTTGCTTCTGGTTTGCTGTCTAATAATTTTTTTTGAAGTTAATATAGTTTAAATATAGGCATAAAGTCTAAAAAATACTCATTTTAAAGTCATTATGTTGTTAAATTTTTTCTAAGTGCAATGGCGCAAGATTGTCATTTTTTTTGGTTACTATTTGTTAACAACTAGAATAGAAGAAATAAAATTAAAGAGGGATAACATTTGATCACTTGTGATTCACTAATTTCTTATCTTTGTTTAATTCTCCCAATATCTTTAAGTCACGGATCACATTTCCTTCTAAATGATTCATGTTAGGATTATTTACCCTTGTGTCAGGTGTTGCCCTCTTAAGTGGGTTTCATCATTCATTTGTGAGTGCCACTTTAATTATAAATGGAATTGATCAAAGTTATAAGTATTAGACAAAGCATAGAGACAAGATGTGAGTAATAGTAGCCCAGGGCATAGTAAAAGTTGTGGATCACATAATTTCATCACAATCACATATAAAGATAATTGTGTCATAGATATAGCCAACGTGATTGAAGAGGAACTTGAGGATTGTCCATTAATGTTTGAGAGGTTAAAGAGTGATACAACGACACCTTAGTATGCTAGTTGTACTGAGTTTACAAAATTGTTTATAGTTTTGAAATTGTATAACTTTAAAGCATGGGTGGAGTGATACAAGCTTCACATAAGTGCTTTTGTTTGCAAAACAAATGTTACTGAAA